TCTAGTTGAAACCTGGAACATGTCAAAATCAAAAATTCCCAAGAGTTTTCAAAAGCATAAAGAATAAAAATAGATTTTTAGGCAAAACTAGATTTTGCCAAATTAATTTAGTTTTTTTTTATATCACTAAAAACTAATAACCATAGGTAGATACTTTAAATTTTCACCAGATTTTTATACAGCCATATTGTTTACACCATTTTCATTGTCGAGCTTTTTATTTATACTATTTATTTTTTGAGTATAAGAATATTTTGATTTTTACAAGGATTTTTATTCGTTTTTTTTTAATCTTAATAATTTAATGTGAATCCAATACAAGTTCCTTATAAGTTGTTTTAATCATAGTTAAAACATATTAAAGATACATAAATTAGTTTTTTTTATAAGCATTTAAGTTTAAATTTTTATAAAATTAAAAAAAATAACAATTTTAGTTATTATGTTGTAATTTAAAAATATTATTATAATATAGGCTGACTAACAGACAGTCTTCGCTCATAATCATTTTTCATTACAATGATATTTAATCACTGAATTCAAATTTAACACCATCCGTTACAGTGACCCACTGTAACCTACTGTAAAGCAGAGCGGTATCCGTTCTATGTTTTTTTTTTAATTTCCAGTAATATCAACTTGTGTGGAATGTAGTATTACCTAAATTATCAACCTTTAGGTAATAAAATCAAACATTTTATGAATTTTGATGGATAATGAAATATTATTTGGATGTCTTATAATTACTTTAGATCATACAAGCAACTTATTTCATTTATTTAGGTTAAAAAACACAATTAGGTAGTTGTTGAATATATAAAAATATATACAACATTATTAGATTTTTAGTCAAATTTTGATAAGCAAATGTCCAAATTTGTTTAAGTTATTAGTAGCATAAAAATAAGACAAGACAAGGAATCTAACCTTGTCTTCAAAATCGCGTAATTAGAATGAAAATTGGTCATTTTAGATGGAAAATAGTTTCAAATCCCTTTCAGTGTACAGTTAAGTCTCGCTAATCCGGCCAATCTATATTTCATACTTTAGTACTCATGTATAATGTATATTTTCGGGAATATCGATGATTAAGATATTATCGTAATAATAACAAAAATAATGTGTAATATAAAATTGTGAATCAATACATTTTGAATTTGTATAAATACATACGGTGTTTTTGTTTATATTTATTAGTAAGTTAAAAAAAAACGTCATTCCGTTTCGATTTTCGTTAATCTGGATAGAGTCCGGTCCCATCTAGTCCGGATTAGCGAGACTACTGTAATTTTAAAATGTCCTATTCTTCAGATAACAATAACCCAATTAGCTGCAATTTCAATTATTACTATGATTCAACATTCAAAATAGATATATCCAATATTATTAATATAATTATAATATAATAAAATAATAATATAATTATAATATATTTACCAAGGTAAAAATAACTTTATATTTCATGAGTTGTGATTTGTAAAATGAGTAATGTTAGATGTAACTCCGGATGTAACTGAGTAATTGCTAAGATCAGCATTTTAGGGGTTGATGTGTTGAAAAAACGCACATCAATTTTAATTTTTGGTGATCAGTTATATCAGTTACATATTTATCAAATAAAAAAATAAACAATAAATCAAATCTACTACAAATATACTAACCTTGTGCTTTTGGGCGGAAACATTTTCTCCGAATAAAGCAATAAAGAAACAAATTCCTAAAAATAGTAATTTCATTTTGATTTCTCAGACTTTGATTAATGTAGTGATTTTACAACATAGATGAACAACGTGAAATAGCAAACTAAAGTACTGTAAGTAGTGGCCCAAACGTTCACACAAAGTTATTGCGTCTTAGCAATGAAATAATAAAAACCTTTGTTATGACTTGTAGCTAACAACAAAGATTATACCTACTATAACTATAATATGTCTATATACGCCATACGGTTCATCCGCTATCCGTATATGAACATTGAACGGTCGATATAATATTAACTACTGATAACACGAATAAAACAATAACAACTTTGTTATGATTTATTAGTCAATAATTATTGATTAATGATTTTAAATGGCAAAAGCAATTTTGCATCAACAAGTAACAATAACAATATATTATTGTTACCCATTTTAGCATTAATTTTCAGAGATTTTAAAGATTTTAAAGATTATTTAAAATCTCTGTTAATTTTACAGTTAGTAGAAGAAACAACGTCGTCATTTGTGTCACAAATTGTGTGTCTGTGTCATAGAGTAATTACTATTACTCTATGGTCTGTGTGTGGGGGGGGGGGGGTGTTGAGGTTGAACATTGGCAGTTTGACACCCCATTTTTATTTTGTTACTTAACAATTTACAAAATATGCGCGAATGTGCTGTGTTTGAACTGTTGAATGACGTAGGAGGGGGATGAAGTCCTTCTTTTCTAAATATATAAAGTTATTTATTTTTTTTTTTCATTTATTAATTATAATTGTTTCAACAAAATGTTTGTTTTTACATTTAAATATAAAGTTAAATATAAATTATATATATAAATTTAAAGTTCCTCTTTTATCAAATACCGTTAAATATTGTAAATGACAGAGGACCGTAAATATCATACAATTCTAATCAAAAAAATAATTACATTTCCAGGTACATACATTTTTTTTTTTAATTTTCTCAAATCCATCATTTTTTTTTCAATTCAAGTACTGCCAATATAAATTATAGTCTGTGAATTGTGATGAATAGGTTTATATGTGGGTTAGGTCAACTGTAAACACTTGAACTTTTCACAAAATATAAGATTAGTAGTAGAATATTAGAATAGTAATCTATTAGACATAATCACGGACTAAGATAAAGTTTATCTTAGTCCGTGGACATAATAATTTAATCACGAGTATATTAAAATATAATCTGTGATATAATTTTGAAAATATTCTAATTTCTAATTCCTTTTGGGCTATTTATAAATATTTTCGACATTTCTCATCAATTAATGTATGACAAGTGACAACATTTTTGTTTATTTGTTTTTGTAAAAAGTTTGAAAGTTTAATACAACGTTCCTTATAATTAAGTTATACTACTGTAAGTGTAAAATATCGAAAATACTTTTTTAATATTTAAAAGCTTCTAGTGCAGCGGTTCCCAATATTTTTCATTCTTCGCCTCCCTTGTAAATTTACTAAAATCTCATCCCCCCCTTAAATTAGAGTTAAGGCGAATTTTTTTTTCCGTGAGCGGTACAAATAAAACATACAAAATAACTATATATTATACAATATACAACTATTTACTTTTATTATTTTCATCATTTGAAAAATGAATTATAAATCAACTTACGAAGTAATAATATTAAGTATAAGAAAAAAATATTGAATTAAAAACAAAAATAATAACATAAAGTATAAATAATATCTCGGTCTATCGACTCTATTGTTATACCTAATATAAAATTGTTATCGACGCCCGATAATCTGAAAATTAATATAGTGATTTCAATTGTACACATTGTAAAATGACATAATTATTTTTGTAATTCCATCATCACTATACCAAGCCCCCCCCCCCTTTCTTTATAAACATTTAAAGTTTAAATAATTAAGAAATTCGTCAAAATCACCAAATTCTATATTATATTGTTTTGTAATTATATATTCAATACAATTTTTAATTTTAACATATTTGAATTGAGGATAAAATACAAAATCCTCATACCTACTCATAATTTTTTTTTAATTGGAAACTAAAAAGATTTTTACATAGTCATAATTTTTTTATGAGCTATTAAAAGTTCAAATATTTTTGATATTGGATATTCTTACTTTGCGGTACACCTACCTAATAACTATTGAATAAATATTCACACTCAGTTTTTGTTATTTTGTTACTATTCAAAATATAGTGATTGTAGAAACTGTAGAAATATTATTTTGAAATTTCTCGTAGGATAACCCTATACACACATAAAAATGTCAAAAGTACATGTGTGCAATTAAAAAAAATAATAATTCTTTTATTAATTGGTGATTGGAAATTAATATCTACTAAAAAATGTTGGTTTTTTTTATAGGTGACCATATTTAGAATGTGGGAAAATTGCTTGCCAATATCTTCCGAGTTATTTTACACAAAATTTGGGAGAGAGGGATTGTTTAAAATTTAAATCTTTAAGATTTTCAAACATTTAATATTTAATCACAATGCCTACTGGTTAAATGGTAATAATATTATTTTTTTAATAAATATAGGTAACTTTGTCATCTACTATGACAGTGAAGTTATAACTCATAATAATTGTATTTTTATAGGTAAATAAATTAACTGAAACTATCAGTAATAAAGTAGATATCCAATATCCGATACATGGATTTAAAATTGTTATGTTCCTTAAACATAGATTAATTGAAGCTTTAAATTTTTCAAAATCTAACTCTATAGTTGGGAAGATTGAAGAGACTAATTTATATCATATTTATATGTATATGATCTAAGTATTTACCAATGTTAACAAATAAATGTCCAACCACTCAATAGTCAATACTGATAGTCCTTTAGGCTCTAGGAATTAATCTATTCTGTGCTAGGACTTTAGACCAATGATAATGTCAATAGGCCAGCAGTCCACTGAGAATCTTCTTATATCCCACTATCCCAGTAGACCAAACCGTCCCAGTGAGTAATGTGTATGTAGTGTTATCTTATCACAACTTTTAGGTACCCATTGACTCACGCCATCCATTATACTACTAACCTATGACTTATTATAGATTATTAAAATATTATATGATCATCAGTTATGAATCCAGGAGCCCTTGATTCCCTAAAATAATTGCTTAATGAGTTTTGTGGCTACATATCTAATGTGTACTTCTTTTTCACAGGTTTTGTCATCCAGTTATCTTCCACCCTTCAAAAAAAAAAAATTATTTGATCCGTGGCATACGTTAATGCAAAATATAAAAAGTACCTTAATTTGAAATAGAAATTTTAAAAGAAAAAAATGCATTTAGTTTATAACCAAAATTGTATTTGAATGAGATTCAATACATTTAGTTACTTTTGCTAACCTACGCATATACCTAATAGTATTATTAAATTATTATAAATCAATAAATACAACTTAATTTAATTAACTTTTAGTTTTTACATTCACTATTCTTAGTTTCTTATTTCTTAGAAATATTAACTTATTAATACATACTTGGTATAAACTTGAAAAATATAATTTATCTAATATCTACATACATACTATAATATAAAAAATAAAAATATGTTAAACAAAATAATGATGTAATTTTATTATTATTGAGTTATTAAATACCAGTATATTATAAATTGTTGATCAATATTAAATACACATTTGTAAGTATGCTATTGATTACTAGTAACCCTAGGAGGGGGCAGTTGCTGTGTATACATTATTATAAAAAAATAATTGTACAACACACATTGAATATTTACTTTTAATACTGTAAAACATAATTATTTATCTTTTTCGTACATAATATCTTATGAGTGTTAAGACCCAATTATTATATTATTTAACAATAAAAGTACCTATAAAAATTATATAAGTTTATAAGTTATAGAGCTGATTGAAATCAATTATTGTACTAGGAGTTTTATACCTTTTGGTGCTATTACATTGGGTCCCAAAAACCTGCGGGTGTTAGAGCGTGATGTTGGTGCTTCACAGAACGATGTCTCGAAAAGTGATTCATGGCATTTTTTGCGTCTACAGGATTATCATTATTTTCTTCATAAAATTTGCAACAGTCTTTACAATCCCAACCATTTAACAACTTTCGTTCATTACGTTTTCTAACAGGATCTTCTTTAAATTTATAATTGGGTAAATCACCTTTTTTATCATTCAAACCAGGAATGATATCAAAACTATCTAATAAATCACCATTAGCAATTTTGATTTGTTTTTTAAGCGTTTTTGTATTATTTAAAAAACTTATTGATACATTTATTGGGCTACAATTGGTTTCATCATTTGAATGTTCGAGTTTTTCAGTTTGATCACGTGAAATACTTGTTTCTTTAGACTTTACAGAATTCGTTTTTACTATAGACAATATATTTTTACCAGGCTTGATATTTTTAATAACATTACTAGAAGAAATATTAACCAAATTGTTTAGCTCTGTATTATGATTTATATTTTTTTCACATATATTATCATTAGATGAATAATTTTTCAAATTAATTATCTCAGGACTGAACAAACTAGAAGAATTGAATACTGACATTTTAGATGCTGGACTGCTGAAAGTAGTAATATCCATCTTCACCTTTTCTTTTTGTGGTTGAAGCATTAATGTAGTTTGTTTAGATTTCTTTAATAAATCGGAAGGATTCCCATCACGCTTAACTTGTAGTTTCCAAATATTATTTAATTCATTTTGAGATTTTATTTTGTTTTCTTTTTCAGTTTTTGAACACATTGGTTTATTTTTAGTGTTTTCATTTAAATCAGTTTTATCTTTAAGGGACAATTTTAGAGGTGAATATGATGAATATAATTTTCTTTTCTTAGTATTTTCAATATTTTTGTTTGAAAGTGATGAGATCCATTGAGTCAACATATCATAAGCAGATGCATCTTGGTCAGTTGTAAAATTTAACAAACTTGCTAATGTTTTAACTTGTTCTTCAATTTGTTTTAATCTAATTTCTAATTCAGAACAAAGACATTGCAAATCATTAATTTTTACTTCAAAGGTATTTATTTTTTCAACTTTTGACATGTTATTCATTGTAATCGTTTTGATAAATGTACATACATTTTGGCAAACATCTGTTAACATTTGTACATGAGCCTCACCATCATTTTGATTATTCATATTTTTAAACAAAATTTAATCTTGAATGAATGAAATATAGTTACCCGCTTGCCGTCATCAATTGTAATTTAAACTGGAGACTAGACAAAATCATGAAAAATGTATTTAATTGTAATTACAACAAAATTACATTCGATTATTTGAATAAAAATATTTATTATTATTTATGCCTTGCAGAGTCATACTCTTATTATAATTAAATGTTCAAAAAAAAATAAAAAAGATTAGTGATTAAATTATTATTACATAAGTTACTATATAGTTAGAAGTATACCTAATACGTACATTATGTGTATTGTATATATTATATATCTGTGTATTATTATGTTTAAAATAATTTGATATCAAAAACTGTTAACGAAATAATAATAATAATAATAATAATTTTTTTTATCACTTTTTCAGATTAACCAACAACAATTAAAATTTTAATTTGTCTTACAATGTGTTAAAATCTTAAAATCACTGGTTAAATAAATGTTTATTTAAAACTGTGTGTTTCGAAATTTATCAAAATTATTAACAAGTGTTATTTAAATGCAACTCAATATAATTCATGATTTATACACTCGTGTAATGTTGGTTAACATGAAAATAGATAGACGAACGTTGTTTGTAGTTGGGCAAAAATTTCTGTTTATTATTTTTTCGCACTGGATTTTTTAGTTTAGATTTTTATTGTGATTGCGATAAAATAAGTTTGTTTGGTGTACCTACTATAATTTTCAACAATTTAATATTAAAAATAAGGTTGTTTCTATACATATTTCTGTTGGATGTTTAATGGCTTTTGATGGAGATGGCGGACGATATTCAGGCAAGTTTTAATCGCCCTGCATGGTTACATTTGTATATTGTTATTTTTTATAAATTAATGAATTTATAGTTTCATATTATGATAATTTATTTATGTATTACTATCATACATTTTTGTAAATGTAATCATAATCACTCAACATTTTAGCTATTTATTTATATTATAATATTTAACTATAAGCATATTAAAATTTTCATTTTATTATTATCTTCATCATTTAAACATACTTTTTTAAGTAACTACCCAACAGTGTTTAAATAAAACAATTTACTTAAATTATTGATTTATATATATATATATATATGTATAACGAAAAATGTGTATAATTAATTTTAAGAAATATGGTACACATTTAATGTTTGGACCATCTAGAAAATGATTTCAAATAGTAGTTTTATGGTACATTAATATGATAATAAATATTAGTAATTAGTATTATTAGATGTAAGTAAAAAAAACATTTTCTTATACACATTTGTATAATTGTATAATACCTTGCTTTGGCTTTAGCATATTTAATATAATACCTATATTAAAACTACATTATTTATAGGTACTTATACATTTATAAAAACAGATAACATTTCAGATCACCCAGAAAAAAACAACTATATTTTGGTTTTTTTTTTTATTCAACATAATTTTGGTGCAGTATTAGAAGCACTAACAAGTGGTACTATTAAATTTTAACCTAACTTGAACAAACTTAGACAATCGTGTCTTGAATATGATCAGATTACTAGTCCTATGCTTACAAATAACAAATCATATTAAATATATAAATATATATTATTGTTTACTTTATTGTCCTTATTTCTGTTGACAACATTTTAAATTTCAATTGGAACTGACCAGATAGCTTTTAATTTAACAAACCAGTTGATATTTGGCCCCAAATTCAATCTCAACATGCACTGAGAAATATCCTAGTCAATCAAATTACAGTTGACTCTCAATAACTCAAACCTTTAATAATTTGAAATAAATGCTCGGTCCCTCAAAAAGCTTGCAGTAATTCCAATAAAAACAATGCATTAATGTACACTCGGTAATTTGTTGAACAATTTAAGGCGAATTAGCCACCAACATGTGACATTTCAAATTTGCATTAACTTAACACTTGACAATTTGAAGTATATTCTCCAAATGAACATTCTTATATTATTGTTATCTACTACATTTAGCTCGTTATTCCTAATCATCATCAAATTATTAATGTACACAGTTAGTAGTTGTATCTTATTGTATTTTGAGTTGTCGATAGCTGGCTGCTTAATTTTAGTTGCAAAGATCACTAGCAATGAATATGTATATAGATGTATATATTCAAGTCCTTGATGATTTCGTAGAAACAAAATTGGTTGAAGCAGTAGAAAGAGGTGACAAAAAAACTGACATGGCTTAGATAATTTACATTCATTTGAGTACGCCATCCACATTTTTTAAATGTTATCATTACTAAACATCACACACATAAATACATACATACGTATTATTTATACACATTCAAGTAATGAATACAATTTTATGATTAAAATCTTGCAATCAAAATAGTGACCAACTTTTTTGGATGTGTAATTAAATAATTAATTCAATGATATTTTAAAATATAAAAAACAACAAACTAAATTAAAATTAATCAACAACATTATATTAAATACCTTCAACATGTTACATTGAATTAAGTATAAATTATTTATAAGATTTATATGTATCTCATATAAATAGTACGTATTATATCTATATATTTTATCTAACTGATTTTACAAAAGATCCTATGTTATATTATTATCCTTACAACTGTAGATTTTTGTATAGAAAAGGATTTAGATATTTTTTAGTTTTAATATTTCCATTGTACTTATTTAAATGCAATTATGTACCCAATGAATATTAATTATTTTTAATATTACATTTTATCTTAGGTATAATATATTTCTATCTCTTAACTAGAATGTTAATATTTGTCTTGAATAATTATTTTTCATTCTTGTTTAATATAAATATTTATTGTTTAATAATTGCTTAAACATTTTTTATCTACCTTCTGATTATTAACATTCATAACTATTGTTGTTAATTATTTGTTTATTTTTTAATCATTATGTTAATTATATTAATTTGTTTAATCATTATAATATATAAGTTCACAAATTTCTTAAAATAATAATTTACATATTTTATAGAGTATTCCACGTTTGGAAATGCTATGCAAGCAAATGTACGAATCAAGGGATGCCACTCTGTGTGTAGAAGCCGAAAAAGCTTTGGTTTCATTTCAAAATAGTAATACTCCTAATACGCTATCCAAGTGTCAAATGCTATTGGAACGAGCTGACTCACATTATTCTCAATTATTAGCAACTACAACTATAACTAAACTTTTATCTCGCACTCCATTAACTTTAAACCTTGATCAAAGAATACAAATCAGTGAGTTATTTAATTTAAGCTATTTTTACATTTAACATTATTTTTAAAAATATTTTGTACTTTATATCATAATTATTAATATTTTTTTTTTATTTTAGGAAATTATATTTTGAATTATTTGGCTACTCGTCCTAAATTGCCATCATTTGTAGTTCAAGCACTTGTGTTATTATTTGCAAAAATAACTAAACAAGGATGGTTTGATGGAGAAAAAGATTCCTATGCATTTAGAAATGTTGTATCTGATATTTCAGTATTTTTACAAGTAACTAAAATGTTGAGCCTTATAATTTTATATTAGATTATTCGATTTAAAAAACTATTTCCTGACAGAAATAATTGTAGAACAACAAAATTAATTCTCCAGACTTCAAAAATAATAGTTGCCTCATGATTAGTAGAAACTGGGAGGTCCTTGTTCTTCATACTGCCTCTCAAACATTTGCTCAAAATTGTAATTTTATGTCTATCTTAATGTATCATTGTCACTCAGCTAGTTCGCCACCAATGGTCGATTTACTTAAAGACTAAATTTTTTCAATAATTAACAACGAAAGGAAAAACATATACTTAACATGTAACCATATTTTCAATTATTATATGCATTTATCAGTTTTTTATTAGATGGTTTTATTATTAGTACTATTTGTTTTTGTTTAATCAAGGAATTTTTTTTTATTATTAAAAAAAAATATATATATATATATTATATTGTATGAGATAATTAAGCATAAATGATTTAGGGAACGAATGTTGAGCATTGCATGATTGGTGTACAACTATTATCTCAGTTAACAACTGAAATGAACACTGTAGCTGATGTAGAATCTCACCGAGCTGTTTTAAAACATCGTAAAGTTGCATCATCATTCAGAGATACACAATTATTTGAAATTTTTCGAATGTCATGTCAAATGTTACGCGGTGCTAATGACAATCGAAAAAATTTAAATTTCACTGATGAAACCCAAGTAAATGTTTGATTCATGAAAATTATACTTATAATTTAAATATGTTTTGAATGCATTCATTATTTTTTGTTTTAGCATGGATTCATGTCTCGATGTCTACAGTTAGCTCAGAATTGCTTAACCTATGACTTTATTGGTACTACTTGTGATGAGTCGGCTGATGATATTTGCACTGTTCAAATACCTACAGGTTGGCGACCAGCATTCCTCGAACAATCTACTCTAACACTATTTTTCGATCTCTATCATTCCTTGCCACCTAGTTTGTCAAGCCTAGTAAGAATAACTTTAAAAATTGCACACTATGCCTCATTATGAAACTAATTATACTTATTATTTTTTAGGCTCTTTCGTGTTTGGTGCAACTAGCGTCAGTCCGACGTTCCTTATTTAGTACTACTGAAAGAGCTAAATTTTTATCTCATTTAGTAAATGGTGTCAAAGATATTCTACTTAATCCTCAGGTATTACAATTTTAACTGAAAATACATTTTTATTTTTACATTTTTATATATGAACAAATTGTTGGTTCTTAAATTATTAAAGAATAAAATATTGCATAAACTATTATTGCAGTTCCTAGTGTTATGATCATTAAGACTTTGTATTATTATTTTGATTCAATTGTTTTATTCATAGGGTTTAGCTGATTCAAATAATTACCATGAGTTTTGTCGTTTATTAGCAAGACTGAAATCAAATTATCAGCTTGGAGAACTTGTGATGGTTGATACTTATCAAGAAACTGTTGGTCTCATTGCTAAATTTACTGTTGAAAGTTTACAGGTAAAAATATTGTATACAATTTATAAAGCTTATTTCATATTTTAGTTTATTATAAAAAAATGTAATGCTTATTTCACTATTTAACATTGTATATAAATTGTAGCTTTAGTAATAATATAGATGTATAGTTTTAAATTTT